TTTTGTCACATAGGGTAGAGCGGGGTTAAAGGTCCGCGGGTGAAAAGATACACCATTATTATTTCAAAAACAAGCAAAGTATAGAACTTTTCAGAGCTACTATTTTAAAGTAGAAGGCAAAAGATGTGTAACCTGCATTCATTTTTATTTTTACGATGTTGCTATCAGGAAAGTTTTTTTTTCGCTGGTGGTTTTTTTGGTTTTGAGCACTGTTCTTTAGTTTAAGATACCTGAATATGATTTTTAGGTATACGTTATTCAATTGTTTTGTAAATTGTATAAATATTTTTAAGTTAGATTCAACAGTTTCTTTTATATGACGTCTGTAAAGGCTTTTATGTGAGTGGGGTAAAAAGGACCAGCTTAATTTTTTATTGATAAGGGTGTAAACAATAAAAAATAGTAAATGAAGTTACAAAACAGCAATTTTACAAGACATAAATTTAATAGTTATTCGACCTCTGCTGATGAATATTTTTTTCAAAATACTAGATCAAGGTTATATACAATAAAATATCAGAATAAATGTTGCCATAAAATTGGTATTTCACATTGGTTAAATAATGTAACTATCTTTTTATAAATGCTCTTTGAAATGAAATATCAAAGAAGTGCAAAAGTTCAAAAAAAAAAAATTATAGAGTTTGGATCACTAATCTAGTCAAACTGTATTATCAATTAGTTAAATTAAATAATTATTGAGTAAACTTTTCTTCGATAACCCACTATGTTATATTACCATTAAATAATAAGTGCGGTCGGTAATGGCAATCTGATGCGTTGACATTCGTGTTAATTAATTGCCTGCACATGCGAGCAAATGTAATATATTATCATTTATAAAGGTGATGACACATATTATGAAATAAGCAATTAATGAGACTCTCTTTAATAGAGATGTTTATCTAATTTCATTAAATAAGCGCCGTTTTGCATTCTAGTTTTACACAAATGTAGCGTTGTTCGGAAATAAACTTACTCGATAATCTGATGGTCATTTTACTTTGCTTATAATTACACTCATAATAACTCATCATAATTATTTATATTATATGTAGTTTATATATGATTTAAGATTATTGATTAGTAGACAATGCGTCTTAATAATCACTAGGATAGCATTACATTATTCATGATGCTTTCCAATAAAACGTTTCCAGACAAGGTTAGACTGGTAGACTGCGTAGAAATACCTGTTCGTTCATTCAATTTCAATTTCTCCTTGTAGACGCTCCCATCTTGAGCCAAATCAATAATAGTGGGAGTTACAAAAGTCACCCATATAGATTCTTTGCTGCTTTCTTTGTGCTTTATGGAACGTCCCTTGTTCTATAATATTACATTTTTAAAATGATATTATTGATGATAAATAGAACATGAAATGCATTATATTATTTTGACATAACTATTGCCAAATTTATGTTAGAAATACACAGACATTTTTCCATAGAACTAAATAACTTTATCAAATCACGTATTGTACATTCTGATCCTTATTAGACTTTCATAAAGTTCTTGTTTTAATTAGTAAAAAAAAAATGAATCAAGTACATTTGACTTCATCATTGAATTGTTTATAATCAAGGAGTATTGTAAAGATCAAAACAAAAAGTAATCAGAAGATGCAAGATCAGGACTGTATGGTGTATGTGGCAAATCATCTTAACCAAATCTGCAAAAATTGTTGCCAAGTATCCATTAAAGATACCCATATGTGATGCCCATAAAAGAATAAATCACCCTTTCCAGTTGTCAATTTATGCCATTTTTCCTTGACTGCGTTGTTTAATTCCTTGATTAGTTGTCCTTGATTTTTTGTTGTTTAATGCAGACATCAAAATTGATCATTCGGTTACTGAAAATGGACAATTTCTTTGTAATTTACTACAACTGGAAGACCAAAGCATTTTGGTCTGGTAAAAAATCACCAGAACAACATTTGGCAAACCAATTTTGACAGTTTTTTAAAGAATTCGTCACCATAAACAGCTCACTACTTTTTGTGAGCTTAAGATGCCTTTTTACCTTTGCAAAAATAAAGAATTAAACGACGGCAAAATTTTCTAAAACTACGCAATCCTATTGAGAAACGTACCTGTGGCCCAGGCTTGGCCCAACTATATTAAACTCTGAGCCAAGTTTGTAAGCCAAGCTTGACCCAGCAATGGGTAAAATCTGGACTGATAACGATGGACCAGGCTTGATTACCAGTACTGCGTCAGGTTGCCAGGACTAGTATCGATATCGATATCGATTATAAAACTCTTTTTACTGACGGACATCTAAATTCCCTACTATTCATTAACAAATATTTATATATTTTACAGTTGGACTACTCTAGCAAATCTAAAAATTTAATTTAACTGAATGATTTTTTAAAATTTATTTGAACAGTGTGATTAATATCTTACAAACTACGTTTGTTTTATTACAGATGGCAACCCAAACAGTTGTCACATCTCTGTATGATAAATTTTTTATTACAATCTCTGTAATAGGGCAAGTATGGTGCAACAATGCCGGGTAAGGGCTATTTTCACTTGGAAACATATTGCTATTTATATTTCCAAGTGAAAATCGTTGCCACTGTTGCCTGATAACAGGCTGCTCGAAAAACTGAATGATATTGTTGCAAACAAATGTGTTCGCAGAGAACCTTCAGTGGACAAGTTTGACTCGTATGTTACCGGATTTCCATTTTGTTTACCGATTACTACACTTGTTCTTTTACTACAGTTTGCTTGCGCGCACTCTCGCAAAACACATGTCGTTTCCGAATCACTCCCTCTTCGCAAAACACAACAAACAACAAACACTCCCCGAAGATGAAATCAAAGTCCTACACTCTCTGCGGTGTCGGCGTGCTATTATCAGGTCTCGCCCTCTTCCTTAAGTGATTCTCATGGAGTGATACTCTCCCTAAAATTACCCACGAATTAATGTTCTCCGTGTCGTGAATATTATTAATAAACCAAACCGCACCCTCATTTTCTTCTGTATGTAATATAATGTACGAACCTTTGTTTACACGCACTCCACATCTGAGTCAGAGTGAGGGTCGCGTAGATTTATCTGAAAGCGTTTTTCCATTTTCCGAAGCAAACAACATAAATCCACTTCCTCCCTTTCACTTTAATTCGTTCATCTTTCATTTTTTCGCAGCGTGATAAAACACGTTTATAAGCGTGTGTGCAAGTTGTAAAGCACATGTAAAGTGTTCCCGAGGCGGAACACTTCACCCCGAACAATGGACGTCCCGAGGGAGGGTGGATTCGCTTCGTGCGAGATGTGGAGCAGACAAGGGTTGGTTCTCGGGAAATTGATTTGAAGAGGATTCTAGATAGAAGTGTACGTGAGAGGGAATATAATGCTTTGTTGAAATTGACCGGAGCGAGTTTATAATCGCGATAGATGATACACGATTTATTTGCTAGCATTTGCTGAAGCTGATAACTAGATAGATGTTACTTTTTTAGATGTTGTAGAAATAAAATATAAACAATTATACAAACAAAATTGACTGTCACAATTGTTGTTTCTGGTACTTTTATTTTTAAAAGTTGTGTAGTAAGTAGGGAAGACTGGGTACGGTTGTGCCACTTTCTTTATGATCAACAATTATTTTGTAAAATCACCAGCTGGAAGAAAAGCAAATTGAATGGCAATTTGAATGTTTGTCTACAAGGAAATACTGAAATACTGACCTTAAATGTGATTAATTAGTCATAAAATCAAACCACACAAAAAGGGCAAGCGTCACTACCGCCCACACCCAAGGAACGGTTGTGACATTCATAAAAATAGGTTAAGAAACAATATCTATAAACACCACAATGGTTTATATCGATTTTTTTGTCAGAAATATGTAACACAACACAGCATAATCATTTAAACAAAGCTTATGAATGTAATATACAAAACATAATTTTGCAAACAAGAAATCTATGTGAAATCTATTGTTTTCTTGTATTAAATTTTACTTTTCTTTGGTTAGATTTTTCTTGATCTGTTTAAATTTTTCTTTTTTCATTCGTATTTTGTCTTAGTTTGGTTAGATTTTTCTTCATGTTTTACCAAAAAAGCGCAAGAAATACATGTCACATAAAACAAAACTAAATGCTGGTAAATATCTAATAATGATCAACTTACAGCAGAATAACAAACAGAGTGATCTATATGTATATAAGTAACAGTTACTATAAAAATAAATCAAACAAAAAACTTACTTTTGGCTCTTAAAAAGCAATTGGGTCTACAGATCATGCTAATGTAGGGCGATGACACAATGCAATAATGGAAACATACTTCATCTTCTCCCTTTGGACTCTATCTCAAATCAGTATAGTTTAGCTAATATGACTGTCACTACTGTAACCTGGCACAACCGTACCCAGTGTTCTATACTATTAGAATCTAACGAACACGACATGTACCAGGTAAATTATAAAACTGACCCGGACCGTCATACCCGGACGTCATCACTGGATTGGCATTTGATTTAGACATTCTAGGTACTACCATAAAAATGGTCGATGTTCCATATGAAGTAACGGTTATTATTGAAAGAAATCGAACAAAAAACTTACTTTAGGCTCTTAAAAAGCAATTCGATCTACAGATCATGTTAATGTAGGGCACTGACTCAATGCAATAATGGAAACATACATCATATTTCTCCCTTTCGATCCTATCTCAAATTAGTATAGTTTAGCTGTTATGACGACTATCACTACCGTAACCTGGCACATCCGTACCCTGTGTTCCCTACTACTATTAGAATCTAATAGACACGACATATACCAAAAAATGATAAAATTGACCCGGACCATCATACCATCATACGCGGACGTCATCACTGGTTTGGCATTTGATTTAGACATTCTAGGTACTACCATACAAATGGTTGATGTTTTATATGTGATAGGTGTACATAAAGACATGCAGATTTTGTACATTTCTGATTATTCATATTCATTTATTTTTGTTCACTTTCGGACAAAATGGCATACTTATACAATAGACAAAATTTACCGAAAAATGCTAAAATAGACAGACCATCATACTCGGATGTCATCACTGGATTAGCATTCGATTTAGACATTCTAGGTACTACCATAAAAATGGTTGATTTTCCATATGGAATAGGTCCAGATATTAGAAACGATAAAATTGGCATAATCCTGTTTAAGTATTTAAATCCAATTAGTATGTCATAGTTAGGCTACAGTACAACAATCAGTATGTTTTATCATTCCACATCCAACGTTCGAATCATATTTTAACTCAAACCTATTCCATTAACTTCGGTGCATTCGAGTTCGATTTGATATCTTTATTCAGACAAATACGTTATCAATATTTCAGTGTGAAATCACGGTACTTACTGTTAGATTGCGTTTAACAAATTCGCAATAACCGCGAGGCGTCAAGTCATGCTAGTAACGCTCGCTCCGGCTGTGGTTATGCGTCGGCAGGCAGCGATGAGCGAAGTAACCGCCCAGGACGCGGTTCGGCGCGTGCGTCGCATTAAAACAGCGGCGAATCTACTGAACCTACTCCACCCCGAATGAATGGTGCCGCGCGATAAGCCCCATCAAATCCATTGCCGACGAACAAACACACTGTACACGGACTATTCACTTTTATAGTAAGAGATCTCGTGTAAATTGATAAGAGGATAATTCTCGTTACTGTTGGAATATGGCAGTTGTTCAACGAAACGTGTCTCATTTTTGCAATATCAAACAAACCTATTTCCGCAATAAATAGACAGAGAAAACAATATAACAATTCTCAAAAAAATCACAACTAGTGGGGCGCATGGCATCGTGCCTTCAGGTAAATTGCTGGAACTTCCCGTACCATTTTTTTGTTGTTAAAAGATTAACATTTTTGATATTTGAATTTCGAAGCGCGTAAGCGCCGCGCCGGCGTCTAACGGATAAGCATTGGCATGGAACCCATTGGAATGTGAACAAAATTTATACTTCTTGTTAAAATCTCTATAAAATATCTGATAATTTTATGTGAGTATGTCTAATGATCATTTTTGACCGCCAGATGGCATTTTTTTTTACTTTTTTTTACTAGATCTCCGAAACCGCTGGACCTGCCTTCATAAAAATTGATCAGTTCTTCATCTTGTTGATACAAGTAAAATGTTTTTTGAATTATTCAAATCGGACGCTCCGTTCTCTTAAAAACTGAGTTACCGTTTTTGGCACTTTTTGCCCATATCTTCGGAACGGCTAGACCTGCCTTCGCCAAAAACTAATCAGCACGTCTCCTTATCAATACGAATCGAATGTTTTTTTATTTATTCAAATCGCTTCATCCGTGTTCCCAAAATCGTCGACAAAAATTTGTATCCGAACACACATACACACGCACACACACACATACAACCATTTTTTCTAAGGTATGCCAAAATATTCAGAAACCTCTGAAAGGTAAAGATATATAAAAATTTTCATTTTCGATTTTTTTGCGATTTCTATAACTTACCCTTCGGGAAATTAAAAATTATAGAACTGGAACGAATTAATTTCATTTCACTGGATTTATATGGGAAAAATTGCTTTGAGATACGAGATACGATCATTTTACAACACAGTTTAACATTATAAGTCTTAAACCATTATCGTCGTCACATTAAATAATAGATTATGTAATAATGATCTTTTGAATATTTCTGAAATTGTTTTTGCTTAATTATAGACAAGATATTCATCATAAATAAAATTGGAGTGAGCAATAGGGTAGAACGAAACTTAAAGGTTCGCGGGTAAAAAGGTCAATCACCGATATCTCAAAAACAAGTAAAGTTAATAATTTTTGTAATAACAATACTTGAAATTAGAGGGAAAAAATGTATAATCAGCAATAATCTTGATTATTACTTGATTGATGTTGCTATCCGATAAACGGCAATGTTTGAAAATCCACAACAAAAATATTACCTTTGTTGTTAGTTTTTTTGGTTATGAGCACTGTTATTTAGTTTACGAGACATTTATGTTATGAGACCTTGGTATAATTTTTAAGTGGACGACATTAAATCGTTTTATAAGATGTATTGTCAATTTTGAGTTAGATTTAAGAATTGTTTTTATATAATCTCTGTAAAAGCGTATACGTTGGTGAGGTTAAGAGGACCAACAAAACCTTTACCCTGGCAAGGTGTTAACAATAAAAAATAGTGAATAAAAATGTCAATTCAGGTGAAATTTTATAAGAGATAGTTTAAATGAATAGTTATTCCAACTCTGCTGATGAATATTTCTGACGCAATACCAGATCAAGGTTATATACAGTGTTATTTCTAAAAAAAGGTACCCAGGAAATTTATATTTTGCATTGGTTGAGTAATGTAGCTATCATTTCGTACAATCATTTAAAATTTTGAATAAGCGTCCCATTTCACTTCGTCTGTCTATGGGTAAAACGGGCCAGGTGACAAATTTAAAAAAAAAAAACAGCAAATAAAACACATTTTTACAAAGATGAATTAGCTGGGTTTTACTGAACATAGTCAGATAGTTGTTTGTTTTATATGTGTTATTTGTTGTGATATAATTTGTTTGGTTTTTACTATATAATTGCTCGAAGTCAAATTGGACCTGTCTCTATCTTAATAATTGTGCCTTTCTCTATCTTAATAATTAAGTGTATGTACATGATGGAGGTTGCTCATAAGCATTCTGCATTTTGGTCTTCCCGTTGAAAATTGCATTAGATTCTATATTTCAAATGAGTGTGCATATTCAATATCAGAAGACACCAGCCATCGTACGATGCGCCATATAAACGCGCGCACTCTCGCCTCTTACTTATTCATCGCTTGTTAATATAATGTGTTCCAACGCGTGCCATTATGCGGGTAATCATTATCTAACCTAATTTAATAAGCCTTTTACCCCCTCAGGAGTTGTGGATTTGTGTACTGGCGTATATGCAAAGTACTTACCATGATATATGTTTATAGGTGTACGCTATTAGGCTAATTCACCTGCGTTGTTTTATTGATAATCCTCAGAACGATTACAAGAGTAGGATTTGCCTCAACTGTAATTAGTATAATGACTCTGGGGTTATATTAATTTGAATTAAAATTGATATTTGAATAAAATATTCAAACTATGATTAACTTAATATATTACTTACAACACCAGATATCTATAAGTAGGGTAGGGCGGGGCTAGTTGAGCAAATTTTTACTTAAACGGATGTAGCTCCTCAATGAAAAATCTCAATAAATTGCTATATGGCTTAATCTCAATAAATTGCTAATGGATTTGTTGTTTATCGCTTAACAAAAGTTTTAATACTATTTTTTTGGTAATAAGTAAAATTTAAAAGCTACATCTGTTTAAATGCAAAAAGTCAAGTATGCTCAATGTACCCCATAGGTGGGACACGTTGAGCACTAAGAAAGTATAATGAAATCATAGGTTCAATGTCGATTAATGATGAAATAAAATAAGTTTTTAATAACCAGTTCTATATTTATTATTTTATTTAGTCATTATTGATAGAGAAAACAAAACTTATAGTAATTTTCTTTGAATAATTAACCAAAATTAGAATCAATAAAACAATATCGTATCCTAGTAATTGTTTTACCATTATATTTAGTCTTTTAGTTTAAAATCATTATTTCTTTATATTATTACTCATAGACTTAGCTTAAATCTTAAAAATAATAATAATTTCTGGAAGTTAATGGTAATTGTCTTAGTGACAGAATAAGTTTAGCAACTATGCTCAACTAACCCCAACTCGGAATTTCAAAATAAAAGTGAGTTTATAAAAAAATCGTGAGAATTACACCCAGAATCTCCGTGCATATTAAAAGTACTATGATTATACGGAAGAATAACATTTACCTGATTAAAAATAAATAACATTTGACTAAACCAGACGAAAACTCGTGATAAATTACTTTTTTACTTTTTTGTCTCAAAATAAACAAAACGCCCGGGAGCCTCTCTCATTTGTCCAGCGGCCACTAGCGATCGCGGGATATTTATTTCTCCAAAACCTCTATCATTCCGCCATATAATGCCTAAACGGACGGTGAATAGTTTTCGAGATATTTCGATTGCTCAACTTGCCCCTATGCTCAACTAGCCCCGCTCTACCCTACACATAAAAATAAATTAAAAAATAGAGCTACCGAGACAATAATATATAATTTTTTTTTTTTTTTTTTTTTAATTACGATCTGTCACACATTAGGACATTGAGTAATTATATTGACTTATTCTTACTATATGAATCTTGAATGGACGGCAACCCAGTAGTTGTCCTGTCCAGTTTTGACTAATTATTATACTCGAAGTATGTACTGACATATTATATGTGCAACTATACCCACGGGAGGCGATTTTGACTTGAGGCTATATTTGAAATCTATGACCTCAAGTGGAAATTTGACATCAAAGTTGCCTGATGTCAGGCTTGGCGGTAGCGGGAATCATAATATATAATATGGAACATGTTTACGCGCAGTAAACATTGAGTCCAGTCTATTTTTTAAAACTTTAATTAATTTTTATAATTGAACCAGTTTTCATAGGCCTATAATATTTTAAGGTGTTTAGTTTGACTATCAACTACATCACCATGCGAAGTTTCATCAAGATCTCAGAAGAATAAACTTAAGGTGTCCCTTGTTGGTTACAGATTATTCTTATATATTAACGATAGATTCTATTCTGAAATCAATTAATAATTTTACGTAAATATACAATTGATTACGCAATTGTTATGCTGCAAGTTCTTGCTAAATGTCAATGATAATTTTTTAATTATAATCGATGGCGCAAATCAACAAATAAGCATTAAGATCCACAATCATTTGCAATTGCCGACCTTAATATCTGTACAGACTTTTGTTTACTTTTTTTTTAGTTTTACACCGCACTGCGTTAATTAGTTTCGCAATCATATTTTGATACTTAATGACTGTATTAAATCATTCACATGAAAACGATTTATTAAAACGGAATTGTTTTACTCCTGACCATAATCAAAATAATCCAGACGAGGTCTGCAGAAAAAAGGTCAATATAATAATTTTTTTATTTAGTGCTCAGACTATTGTT